AAACGGGTAATAAAAATAAAACTCTCAATTAAAAATATTAATATTTTTAAGACCTTTTTTTAGTGTAAGAACTATTTAAAAAGCTTGTGCCGTTTTAGAGAAATTTTGCAAAATATGACAAAGATAGGTACTCTTTGGGGATTTTTTTTCTAATAAGGGGTTGACAAAAAATACAATTTTGTTAAATTAAAAACATATACCAAATCTTCTTCTGTTACCCTTTATTTTTTCTTTGTGGATTAAATGAACAGTTATTGAGATTTTTTTACTTAAATATCCTAGATTTAGGCATTTCAACCACTGTTAAGGCCTTAAAACCAAGTCATCATACTCAGTACGTCACTAACAGATATTTTGAATTATTTTATTTTCAATTCAACAGTAGCTTTTATACGTGTAGTCAACAATTTTTTACCTAAAAAAGGTTAATTGAAATAAGTTTCGTCGAATATGTAACCCACTTGTTGTATTAAATATTTCCTATGAATATCAACACCAGTAGTTCGTGAGTTCAACTCCGTCACGTCCACCAACAGTTCGTTACGTTCCAGATTGATGTTTGAATACGTGCACTGAAACTCTTTCAGTTTAGTTATGTCAAATATTTAAGCTTTGTATAGCGGGTATGTTCGTTTGTATTTAAACTAAATATTATGCCGTATTATTAAAGGCACCGGCGTGTAGTGTGTATTCAACGCATTGCGTGTATTTAACAAACTTTATCGTATCATGATAACATATCAGTCAAATTTGACTGTTGTTATCTATATTAAAATACAGTAAGCAGTAAACAGAACTCACTACTTTACTTAGTTGATGTTAATTTCTATATGAAAATAGAAACGGAAGTTGAAATGTTTTTATTTTGTACGGATACATGAAACATAAAGCAAGAAGAAGAAAAAACGAAAGTACGAGGTGCTTGACATATTTCATATTTCGTCTACCGAATTAAAGCTAGGCACATAGCAAAAAAAAAACGAAAGTGGTTATATGTCGAGCATTAAACGTAGTATATGGTCCGCGTTAGGTGTAGTTTACATTGTGATATTTTCATACCATGTTAATATGAAATCATAGTATTATCACATTTTAAATATAAACTGTAGTATTATGCAAATAAAGTGTGCAATACAAAGCTATAACCTTAAGAAATTCAAAGTGACTTCGTAAATACGTTTAAAGTTTTCTCCTGATGGTTTTGACCTCACTCTGTTTACATAATTGCACTGAATACCTTTTTATATAGGATAAGGGTGACAAGCGAGCGCACAGTCCACCTACTTGTGTCCACTTACCATTAGGTGCTTTTTTTTAAATTTAATATGGATTATCACGTAATACTTATTGAAAGTCATTATTTTATTTACCACTGGTCTCTCTGTCCTGGGAAGAACCAGCAAGAAACCCAGCGGGACGTTTTTTTTTAAACATAATTTCAATTAACAATAATTTTGTTTATACAATTTTGAATGAATTTTCATAGAACCAGCATGGTGGCGATCACCTTATTCCCAGGGGTTATTTTCATTCATGTATTCCTTGATATTATAATAACCCTTTTTGTACAGTTTTTCTTTAATACAACTTTTAAACTTGTTTATTGACAAACTTTGAACATGTTCTGGGATTTTGTTGTAAAAGCATATACATTGTCCCATAAATGAATTACTAATTCTGTAGAGTCTAGTAAGTGGCATTACAAGCTTATGTTTCTTCCTAGTGTTTAAGGTATAAACATCCTTATTCTTATTAAAACTATTTATGTTTCTATGTACATACATTACATTTTCATAAATATATTGCAATGTCAAAATTAATATGTTTATTTCTTTAATTTTTTCTCTGAGGGACTCTTTACAATTTTGATTATAAATCTCCCGTACGGCTCTCTTATGCAAAACAAATATAGCTTCAATATCAGTCGCATTACCCCATAGCAAAATTTCATAAGACATTACGCTATGAAAGTAACTAAAATACACTAACCTAGCTGTCCCAACATCTGTGAGACTTCTAATCTTTCTTACAGCATATGCTGCAGAACTAAGTCTGCTTGCTAATTTAGATATATGGGGGCCCCATTGAAGTTTCGCGTCAATAGTAATACCGAGAAAAACAGTGGTATCCACAAGACTCAACTCCTCCCCATTTAAGAGCACATTGGTTTTCGAATGTTTTACATTAGGTATTGTAAATTTAATACATTTTGTCTTATTGCCGTTTAAGAGCAAATTGTTGGCGTTAAACAATGTACTAGTTTTGATAGAGCATTATTTACATCGTCATATTTAATTGACTGCCGTTTCAGTTTGAAAATTAAAGAGGTATCATCAGCAAATATTACTATATCGTGATTGTTCCCTACAAGTTAAGGTGTACAAGGGACATTTGAGAAATAAAACGTTTGAGCACAAAAGGAGTACGAGTAATAATCAAAGACTCTTTTTACTGAAAAACAGGCATTCCATTTTAGTCATCACGGCTGACAAAGCATCCGCATTTCGATTTGCAAACGAGGATAGATAGAAGTCTATGGGTTCACAGCATTCACTTACGATCAGGTGGACTGTGTGTTCGTTGTCACCATTGTTTAATAAAAAATAAATAAAAAACATACAGTCGTATTGAAATCCTCCTCATTTAAAGAAGCCGGCTAAAAACAGTCACAATGGTGACGGGGCACGCGCATAGGCTTTATTGTTATTTATTATATATGGCTAAAACACTTACTATCAGACTTGGAGTAAAAGAAAAAGAGGAATTCGCGAGAAAGAAAGTTATAGCGAAGTAATATTATTTTTATAGGATGGGATGACAAACGAGCAAACAGTCCACCTGATGGTAAGTGGTTGCTGTGACCCAGAGACATCTACATTTATCCTCAATAAAGAATCAAACTGCAGATGCGTCGTCACCCGTGAGGACTAAGATGGAATGCCTCTTTTCCAGTAAAAGGGGTCTCCGGTTCTCTACACTCACCATACGAAACACAGCAGTGTATTCTGTGAGAGCGTGGTCCTTCCCCGGTCGAGCCGACCCATTCGTGCTACAACTATACTACTAATATAGATACAGCATGGCTCTACCACGTAAAAAAATTCCGTTGATAAAAGCGAGAGAGAATTTTAATAAAAGTTCTCTCAGTGGATTATTAGGTCTCGTATTCTTGACGCTGCTCACTATTGCCGGTCTGGATATTTTACTCTATCTACTCACTTCAAATAATATTATTTAAAACCTTAAAAACATTACATTGTATTAATGTAATTATTATAGGACATAAATAGATATGCCTTGCCAATACGCACGTACTGTGCATACAAATTATGCAGAGCCGACTATTTTCCGGAGCCTTAGCGAAAGTATAGGTAAATATGTTGTCGAGTGTCTGTCTGTAATATCAGAATTCCTGCCTTCTATGTAGCTCAAGGTACTATTTGCGTACATGTGAATATCACTTAAGAAAAACTGTCGGTCCTTCTGTATGTCCGGACTAATCATTGGAATGGTTAAACCGATTGTGATGAGGCTTTAAGAACGGACAGAGTGCAATGGCAGGTATGCCCCTGACTGATCTGGCATGGTCTTAAAGTTGCGTAATGCGTATGCGTTTGTATTTTGATAGTGATGTTTGTGACTCTTACTCTATCCACAAAGTTGCTTATTAAACTTACCGGACGTTCAGAACACTGCCTGATGGACAATGGAATGGACATGTCACGGTCTTTTATTTTAACCTAGTGTCTGTTTTCTGAACAATATTCTATTCGTACTTGCTTTATATTTTAAAAGTGAGACTTGTTTTGGTTTTCATCTGGTTATCAATTTAATTTTACGGTCTATGTCAGTTTTTTTATTAATTTTATTTTAAGAGATAAAGCATAATATTTGCCTTCACTGGTATCAGGATAAAATTGAATTTTTTTTAATTAGCCAGTATTTTTTTTAATATGCTACAGAATTCTAAATAGTATACGATAGCTAATAAGGGTGAAATATCCCCAATAATGTTCAGATTTGTGTATTTTTTATCACATATTTTAATCCGTTTAAGCTGCAAAAACCTTCTCGAACATTTCTGCTACAATCGGGCAGTTAAAGTTTGAGTGGCATTCTCATGGATAAAAACTGCTTTGCATGAAGTTAGTTATAGGAGCACATGGGTTGCTGTATTCACTAACCATCAGGTGAACCCATTTTAACTGTAAAATTACAAGAAAATGATTTTTAATATTTACTGGAATACTAAATTTCTTTTGGGTTTCTTGATAGTATTTGTCAGGACAGAGTTTTTGACAAACCAGTTGTCAAATAAAAAAATACTTTCAAGTATCTGCATTGAACAAAAATTATACTATTTTTTATTTAAGTCTACTACATATTGAATAAAATTACAACTATAATTCAATTATAAATAAAATTAATATTAAATTTGTTTTATTAACATTCTTGTGATAATGGAATAGTTTCTTCGTTTACTTTCAATAGATATAGTTTTACACCTTTTTATCTACATCATACATTCATTAAGAAATTTAATAAAAACTTTTATTGATTTCTATACCTTATTCACAAAATATTTTATTTAAACATTTGGAAGACAATCCTAAAAGCAAATGTTTTGGATATTTAATGATTTTGGGGACAAGTCTTTCGAGCCCTAGAATATTTGGCGTAGATTCGCACACCATATTTGATCCAGCCTCAGGATAGGACAAACCATTAGTCATGCTAAATCCGTCTACATTTGGATTTTTTCCGAGAACTGTTGTTGGTGCTATACCAGCAGATGAAGATCCTTGCAGATAGTAAGGTTTCCTGCTGAGTGAAGATTCAAAAACTGGCATCAATTCTTCATTTGTAACTATGCCTGGCAATGAGTTTGACTTGTATTGTTTGGAAGGCAATCCAGAAGGAAAAATGTTGGGATGTTTAATCATTTCGGGGCCTAGTCCTTCGAGACCAAGAATTTTGGGCGTAGATTCGCACACGATATTTTATTCAGCCTCAGGATAGGATAAACCAAAAGATATGCTATATCCGTCTGCATTTGGATTTGTTTCACAAGCTGTTGTCGGTACTATGCCAGCAGCTACAAGTCCTTGCAGATAGTAAGGATCCTTATTTGGTGACGATTCGAAAGCTGGCATCAATGCTTTCCTTGTAATTATGCCTGGTAATAGCTTTGACTTGTTTTGTTTGGAAGATAATCCTAAAGGAAAAATGTTGGGATGTTCAATCACTTCGGGGACTTGTCCTTCGAAACCAAGAATATCGGGCGTAGATTTGCACACGAAATTTGATCTAGCCTCAGGATAGATTAAACAATAAGGCATCCTAAATCCGTCTACATTTGGATTTGATGCGAGAACTGTTGTTGGTGTTATATTAGCAGCTGATATTTCTTGCTGATAGTATGGATTCTTATTGGGTGACGAATCAAAAGCTGGCATCAATGCTTTACTTGTAATTATGCCTGGTAATAGGATTGACTTGATTTGTTTGGAAGACAATCCTAAAGGCAAAATTTTGGGATGTTTAATCACTTTGGGGACTAGTCCTTCGAGGCCAAGAATATTGGGCGTAGATACGCACATGACATTTGATCCAGGATAGGATGAACCAAAAGGCATGCTAAATCTGTCTGCATTTGGATATGTTTCGCAAACTGTTTTTGGTGCTACACTAGCAGCTGAAGGTCCTTGAAGATAGTATGAATTCTTGCTGGGCGAAGATTCAAAAGCTGGCATCAAATCTTCATTTATAACTATGCCTGGCAATGAGTTTGACTTGTATTGTTTGGAAGACAACCCAGAAGGAAAAATAATGGGATGTTTAATCATTTCGGGGACTAGTCCTTCTGAGCCAAGAATATTAGGCGTAGTTTCGCATACGACATTTGATCCAGCTTTTGGATAGGATAAACCAAAAGGCCAGCTAAATCCGTCTATATTTGGATTTGTTCCGAGAACTGTTGTTGGTTTTATATTAGCAGCTGATATTTCTTGTAGATAGTATGGATTCTTATTGGGTGACGATTCAAAAGCTGGCATCAATGCTTTCCTTGTAATTATGCCTGGTAATAGGTTTGACTTGTATTGTTTGGAAGACAATCCTACAGGCAAAATTTTGGGATGTTTAATCATTTTGGGGACTAGTCCTTCGAGGCCAAGAATATTGGGCGTAGATTTGCACATGACATTTGATCCAGCTTTTGGAAAGGATAAACCATAAGGCATGCCAAATCCGCCTGCATTTGGATTTGTTTCGCAAACTGTTGTTGGTGTTACGACAGTAGCTGAAGGCCATTGAAGATAGTATGGATTCTTGCTTGGTAAAGATTCAAAAGCTGGCATCAATTCTTTATTTGTAACTATGCCTGGCAATGAGTTTGACTTATATTGTTTGGAAGACAATCCAGAAGGACAAATAATGGGATGTTTAATCATTTCGGGGACTAGTCCTTCTGAGCCAAGAATATTGGGCGTAGTTTTGCATACGACATTTGATCCAGCTTTTGGATAGGATAAACCAAAAGGCCAGCTAAATCCGTCTATATTTGGATTTGTTCCGAGAACTGTTGTTGGTTTTATATTAGCAGCTAAATTTCCTTGCAAATAGTAAGGATTCATATTAGGTGACGATTCAAAAGCTGGTATCAATTGGTCATTTGTAACCATGCCTGGCAATGAGTTTGAATTGTATTGTTTGGAAGACAATCCTGAAGGAAAAATGTTGGGATGTTCAATCACTTCGGGGACTTGTCCTTCGAAACCAAGAATATTGGGCATAGATTTGCACACGACATTTGATCCAGCCTCAGGATAGGTTAAACTATAAGGCATCCTAAATCCGTCTAAATTTGGATTTGTTGCGAGAACTGTTGTTGGTGTTATATTAGCAGCTGATATTTCTTGCAGATAGTATGGATTCTTATTGGGTGACGATTCAAAAGCTGGCATCAATGCTTTCCTTGTAATTATGCCTGGTAATAGGTTTGACTTGTTTTGTTTGGTAGACAATCCTAAAGGCAAAATTTTGGGATGTTTAATCACTTTGGGGACTAGTCCTTCAAGGCGAAGAATATTGGGCGTAGATTTGCACATGTCATTTGATCCAGGATAGGATGAACCAAAAGGCATGCTAAATCCGTCTACATTTGGATTTGTTCCGAGAAATATTGTTGGATTTATATTAGCAGCTAAATTTCCTTGCAGATTGTAAGGATCCATATTGGGTGACGATTCAAAAGCTGGCATTAATTCTTCATTTAAAACTATGCCTGGCAATGAGTTTGACTTGTATTTTTTGGAATACAACCCTGAAGGAAAAATGTTGGGATGCTTAATCATTTCGGGGCCTAGTCCTTCGAAGCCAAGAATATTGGGCGTAGATTCGCACACGATATTTGATTCAGCCTCAGGATATGATGAAACAAAAGGTATGCTATATCTGTCTGCATTTGGATTTGTTTCACGAGCTGTTGTCGGTACTATGCCAGCAGCTGCAAGTCCTTGCAGATAGTACGGATCCTTATTGGGTGACGATTCGAAAGCTGGCATCAATGCTTTCCTTGTAATTATGCCTGGTAATAGCTTTGACTTGTTTTGTTTGGAAGATAATCCTAAAGGCAAAATTTTGGGATGTTTAATCACTTTGGGGACTAGTCTTTCGAGGCCAAGAATATTGGGCGTAGATTTGCACATGGCATTTGATCCAGGATAGGATGAACCAAAAGGCATGCTAAATCCGCCTGCATTTGGATTTGTTTCGCAAACTGTTGTTGGTGCTACACTAGCAGCTGAAGGTCCTTGAAGATAATATGAATTCTTGCTGGGTGAAGATTCTAAAGCTGGCATCAATTCTTCATTTATAACTATGCCTGGCAATGAGTTTGACTTGTATTGTTTTGAAAACAACCCAGGAGGAAAAATAATGGGATGTTTAATCATTTCGCGGACTAGTCCTTCTGAGCCAAGAATATTGGGCGTAGTTTCGCATACGACATTTGATCCAGCTTTTGGATAGGATAAACCATAAGGCCAGCTAAATCCGTCTACATTTGGATTTGTTTCAAGAACTGTTGTTGGATTTATATTAGCAGCTAAATTTCCTTGCAGATAGTAAGGGTTCATATTGGGTGACGATTCAAAAGCTGGCATTAATTCTTCATTTGTAACTTTGCCTGGCAATGAGTTTGACTTGTACTGTTTGGAAGACAATCCAGAAGAAAAAATAATGGGATGTTTAATCATTTCGGGGACTAGTCCTTCTGAGCCAAGAATATTGGGGGTAGTTTTGCACACGTCATTTGATCCAGCTTTTGGATAGGATAAACCATAAGGCCAGCTAAATCCGTCTACATTTGGATTTGTTCCGAGAACTGTTGTTGTTTTTATATTAGCAGCTAAATTTCCTTGCAGATAGTAAGGATTCATATTGGGTGACGATTCAAAAGCTGGCATCAATTCTTCATTAGTACTTATGACTGGCAATGAGTTTGACTTGTATTGTTTGGAAGACAATTCTGAAGGAAAAATGTTGGGATGTTCAATCACTTCGGGGACTTGTCCTTCGAAACCAAGAATATTGGGCATAGATTTGCACACGACATTTAATCCAGCCTCAGGATAGGTTAAACTATAAGGAATCCTAAATCCGTCTTCATTTGGATTTGTTGCGAGAACTGTTGTTGGTGTTATATTAGCAGCTGATATTTCTTGCAGGTAGTATGGATTCTTATTGGGTGACGATCCAAAAGCTGGCATCAATGCTTTCCTTGTAATTATGCCTGGTAATAGGTTTGACTTGTTTTGTTTGGAAGATAATCTTAAAGGCAAAATTTTGGGATGTTTAATCACTTTGGGGACTAGTGCTTCGAGGCGAAGAATATTGGGCGTAGATTTGCACATGACATTTGATCCAGGATAGGATGAACCAAAAGGCATGCTAAATCCGTCTACATTTGGATCTGTTCCGAGAAATGTTGTTGGATTTATATTAGCAGCTAAATTTCCTTGCAGATAGTAAGGATTCATATTGGGTGACGACCCAAAAGCTGGCATTAATTCTTCATTTAAAACAATGCCTGGCAATAAGTTTGACTTGTATTGTTTGGAAGACAATCCAGGAGGAAAAATAATGGGATGTTTAATCATTTCGGGGACTAGTCCTTCTGAGCCAAGAATATTGGGCGTAGTTTCGCATACGACATTTGATCCAGATTTTGGATAGGATAAACCATAAGGGCAGCTAAATCCCTTTACATTTGGATTTGTTCCGAGAACTGTTGTTGGATTTATATTAGCAGCTAAGTTTCCTTGCAGATAGTAAGGATTCATATTGGGTGACGATTCAAAAGCTGGCATTAATTCTTCATTTGTAACTATGCCTGGCAATGAGTTTGACTTGTATTGTTTGGAAGACAATCCAGAAGGAAAACTAATGGGATGTTTAATCATTTCGGGGACTAGTCCTTCGGAGCCAAGAATATTGGGGGTAGTTTTGCACACGACATTTAATCCAGCTTTTGGATAGGATAAACCATACGGCCGGCTAATTCCGTCCACATTTGGATTTGTTCCGAGAACTGTTGTTGGTTTTATATTAGCAGCTAAATTTCCTTGCAGATAGTAAGGATTCATATTGGGTGACGATTCAAAAGCTGGCATCAATGCTTTCCTTGTAATTATGCCTGGTAATAAGTTTGACTTGTATTGTTTGGAAGACAATCCTGAAGGAAAAATATTGGGATATTCAATCACTTCGGGGACTTGTCCTTCGAAACCAAGAATATTGGGCATAGATTTACACACGACATTTGATCCAGGATAGGATGAACCAAAAGGCATGCTTAAACCGCCTGCATCTGGATTTGTTTCGCAAACTGTTGTTGGTGCTACACTAGCAGCTGAAGGTTCTTGAAGATAGTATGGATTCTTGCTGGGTGAAGATTTAAAAGCTGGCATTAATTCTTCATTTGTAACTATGTCTGGCAATGAGTTTGTATTGTATTTTTTGGAATACAATCCTGAAAGAATATTGTTGGTATGTTTAATCACTTCGCGGATTCCATCGAGGCCAAGAATATTGGGCGTAGATTCGCACAGATTATTTAGTTTAGCTGCAGGATAAGATATATCAAAAGGCCAGCTAAGTACGCGTATATTTTGAGCTATTTCGAAGACTGTTGTGTGTTCTATGCCAGCAGCTAAATGTCCTTGCAGATAGTACGGAATCACATTAGATGACGATTCAAAAGCTGACATTAAAGTGTTATTTGTAGCTATGCCTGATGATGAGTTTGTCCTTGTTTCGTACAATGTTGTCTTGTACGGCGAATGGCAGCTCGTAACGCAGATAAAGGCTGAAATTAAAAAAAATCAATGCCTTGAATAAATACGTACAAAGCAGTTCATTAGAAAAAGTAAGGATTTTTAAGAGAATAAAGAAGAGACAACTTTTTCATACATTTTTATTATTCTTAGAAAATTTATGAAGTTTTTTTTATTACATTTCTTATTCTAAAAGAATAGGTACAAAGGGTAGACTTAATGCCTTGAGGCATTCTCTAACAGTCAACCCATAGAGTGGTGAGAATTTTACGTAGGTTTATAAGTATATAATTGAAACAAAATAAAAATTATAATTAACTACGTTATCTATATATTTAACTAATAAATACAATTAATAAACTATAGAAATATTTCTTATTTATACATATATAAAAATGTATAAATACATAAACATACATATATACATGTCAACATATACATTTTAAATAGTACATACAAATAACTATGAGTATATACGTTTACCAATATAAATGACATGGATGATGAATGTAAGAAGCGTTGTCTTTAATAGATGATTGACGCCATGACGCCAACTTTTTAAAAGCAAACTTATTGGGAGATTTTCTGATGTCATCGGGCAAGGAGTTTCAAAGGTGTGTAGCCTGAACTGTAAACGAGTTAACATAGAACTCGGTGAAGTGAACTGGAATACATATTTTGTTGTTAGAAATAGAACGTTTAACCCTATCATAAGATTAGGAAAGATAGTGAAATTTACTCTTAATATAAGAAGGTGAAAATGAAAATTTAGTAACTTTGATTTGAAACTGATGTTTAAACTGAAAAATATTCTAGTTCTTTCTTTTGATAGGGAGTACATTTCTAAGCATTTTTATCATATAATATTTCTAAAATAATTGTATCAAAAACGTTAAAGATCTATTGCTTCTATTATTCTAAAATCTATTGAAAACTACGTGATATTCCTAGTATAATTCATGATAAGTAAAATAAAATAAAAAATTTACATTTAAATTATATTTTATACAGTAATAATAAAGAAGAAACACGTATTAATGTTGATTTGATGTGACCTCCTACTAATTACATTGGGTCATCACTCCATCTAGTAAGAGGTTGTGCTAAAATGTGCAACTATACATATACGCGTTGTACACGAAACGATTGTGACAATGGATTTGCTTCTCTTGGTTCTTTAAATATAAAGAATTTGTTATTTTAAAAAATTATGCCAATGGTTCTTTAAAACTTAGGTTAATGCGCTGCGCACAGCTTTCATAAATATTAAAATACTAAAATTGTCACAAAAGCGTGATGGTACCTGGCATTTAGTTCTACGACTATAAATGCCATGCCACAAACCACAATAGCCCGAATTATATTCGTTGACGCATCGTCTGTGTTTGTATACTATGTAACCATATATTGATGGACCAAATCACACGAATTTTAAAATGAAAAATGGGGACAATAAGATTTTCACTGGTATACTAACCTATATCAGCTCCAAATGGCAACACTGTATGACTCGTGGCATTGTAAATTGTTGTGCCAAATCTTCTAGTCGAACTCTTGAACATAAAGTTTTAAAAATATTGTCTGTAACTTTATATGTAATATTTTTGTATACTTACAAGAATTAAAAGAGAAAACTTATTGCAACACTTGTTCATCATTAAGAAATTTTTAATGAAGGTATTTTTTAATCATTGCTTAACCTCTCAGATCCCGACATTGTATTGGACTAACTCTTTTATACTTGTTTTTTTTTTTTTGATTTCTTAAAACCAGGCCCTGTCAATTAATGTATCGAACTTATGCGGCATTAATAACAACACCATTAAAAAATTTGCAGATGACTACGTCAGTTTCGCAGATCGATGTAGCACTTGATAAACTGTTTTGATGACGCTGTTACATAAGAATTATTTCAATTGTCATATTAGTTTTAACAGATTTTTGCCTTAAAGTTGCCAATTTATTTGAATACGTCTAAAATGGGAGTATTCACCTATTGATTTTTTATCTATCTGTTGATTTTATAATACTATTACATACATGGTAGAGCCATGATGCAGCTATTTTGTTGGTATAATGTAGGACTATTGAGTCGGATCGACCGAGGGAAGATCACACTCTCGCAGAATACAGGCGTAAAATAGCAGTTTAACGCTGCTGTGTTTCGTATGGTGAGTGAGTAGAGGTGAGAAACGGAAACCCTTTTTACTGGAAACAAGGCAATCCATCTTAGTTCGTACAGGTGACATCGCATCTGCATTTTCATTCGTAATTGTGGATGGATGTAGATATGGCTATGGCGTCGTCCTAATACAACGCGATTACGCGATCATCGCGGGAATAAGCGATGCGACCATCGCTTATTCGCACAATATCAAAAACTGGGTGTCCTAATAGAACGCGAATATGTAATCATCACGCGAATTGTCTATGTGAGCGGCCGCGGTTTCCGCTTTCTTTCGCAATTTGCGCATGTCATTGACGCTACGCATTAACGTCAGAAACGCTCAGTTTTTACTTTCTGGAAATATATGGATGACCTCCTAGGCCTATGTTCAGCAGTGGACTTGTGAAGGGCTGTAATGATGATGATGATGATGATGGATGACCTCTTCTACTGGTCTTGACAGCAATGAAAAAAAAACGATATTTCACGATCAATTTAGGTCGGGTCCCTGTCCTTTACCCCGCTGCCCGACAACACGGCGCGATTGTCGCGCGAATGTCAATTAGGACACATATTCCACAGCAATATCTTTGATCACGCGTTCGTACGAAACAAGTTCGCGCGAATAGATTTTCAAACGTTAAAGTCGCGCAACCCCATCACACGAATGTCAATTAGGACACCTAATCGAGATCAGCATGCTTGATCGCGTGTTCGTACGAGTAAAATTCGCGCGAACTCACGATGATCGCGCATTCGCGTTGTATTAGGACGACGCCTACAGGTAACAGCAACCACATACCATCAGGTGGATTCTGTACTCGTTTGTCACCCTAATACTAAAAAAATAAAATAAATAATACAAAAAACTTGTTTATTTTTAATTATGTTATTCTGGATTTTCTTCCGATTTTATGGGAAATCTCTTAGTATTGGAAAAAATCGTTGTATAGGCGACGCTTTACAAACTGAAAGTTGTACAAACTGGAATAAAAGGAAAAAACTAAAAGAGCCTCTACAAATATCTGTTGGGTTTGTCCTGTCTCTACAAACAGTTGTTGTACAACTCACTTGACATGCGATAGCCGCCATTGGTTGCATTATTTACAAGTAGTTTGTAACAAGCGCCGATCCCAGCCATCGAAAAAGAAAGAATAATAAGCACATTCATATAGCTAAGCGAATTCAACTGACTTTTTTAAAGGATCAGGGTGACAAACGAGCACACAGTCCACCTGATGGTAAGTGGTTGCTGTGAGCCATAGACATCTACATCTATCCTCAATAAAGAATTAAAATGCAGGTGCGTTGTCACCCATAAGGACTAAGATGGATTTTGACTTTTCCAGTAAAAAGCGTCTCCGGTTATCTACAATCACCATATGAAACAAAGCAGTGTTAAGCTGCTATTTTACGCTGGTATTCTGTGAGAGCGTGGTCATTCCCCGGTCGAGCCGACCCGGTCGTGCTACAACTATACTACAAATATGGCTCTACCACGTGCAAACTACTTAATTTATTTCAAATGGTCTAAAATATTATTTACAAAAAACTGTCTCATAGTGTGTCGAGACCAGTCCATTACGGTGTGTCAAGCGTGTCCTCCAACAACATTGAGTTTAGTATGTCAGAAAAGCTTATTATGAATATTATATTTAAAACAGCTTTAATTTTATTTAAAACAAAACTAGTTTTCATTTTGTTGTTACTTATTGGTATTCTAGACGAAGACATTTAGAAAATAAAAATTGCAAACCTCTAGAATTGCTAAAAAATTGAATTGCTTAAGTGGATTTTATAATTAATTGGGTTTAAAAATAAAATAGTTTAAAATTCTTACCCTGATAAACAACTAATATGTTAGATCTACTTTGTGAACTGTAAATCGTTTGCATCAAAACTTACCTTGCTACGGCAGTGCTGTCAGTGAGGTATTTATGTACGTAAAGCAAAAAATAATCATTAAGCCTTTATCCATAAATACAATATATGTGTTTGTGTAAAATCGTGGTGGATGGTACTGTAAAAGTAAGAAATTTATTTTATGACTTATTTGGATTCATATTGTTATATTAAACGGTTCCTTTTTGGTGTTTATAGAATGAAAAAAAAAAGAATATAAAACACTCAAAGCTGAAGTTCAACACAATTCGGTTTACATAGCTGAACTTAAAATTTAAAAAAAAAATTAATAATCGTTGCTAATCATAGAATTCATTAGAGAAAATATGAGTATTTTATCAGTTACCTCACAATATCACACGTGTGTCACTAAAACTGAATCATTTCAGTAAATTAGTTGGTTATTTGCAAAAAAAAAAACGAATATCCCTCCCTGGAATATGTGAGACAGCTAGATGAGTAAATTATTTTAACAAGAGAATACATAAATGTTTATATTATTTCGTCGTCATTATAGCACAAGGCATTCATCCCCTTCTCATACTAAAAGAAGTGGTATTAGTGTTGAAAAAGTTAGAAAGACAACAAACTTAGACATCCAATACTTTTGCAATTTTTTAATAATTGGCTATTATTAAATAAGTGTTTTTTTTTTTTTTTATAGGATAAGGGTGACAAACGAGCACACAGTCCACCTGATGGTAAGTGGCTGCTGCGGCCCATAGACATCTACATCTATCCTCTGTTACAAATCAAAATGTAGATGCGTTGTCACCCGTGAGGACTAAGATGGAATGCCTCATTTCCAGTAAAAAGGGCCTCCGGCCACCTGCACTCACCAAGCGAAACGCAGAGGTAAACCTCTACTTCACGCTGGTTTTCTGTGAGGTCGTGGTACTACCCCGGTTCGAGCCGGCCCTATCCGTGCGACAGCAAAAGCTGCCGCGTGGCTCTACCACGTAATGATAGCGTTCGAAATTAAAATAGTATAAAGTAAATAAACAATAATTAATAATGGTAAATTATATTATCTAGTAATTTATAGACATTGTTTATTGTTTGCTTCGTTGATCTCTTACTACAGCAAATAATTGATAATGAAGCCATCAAATCTTTAAACATCTACATAATATACAAACACAGAGGAGGCGTCAACGAATATAATTAATTGACCGAAGCTACTTACCTTTAAGTGTCCTTCGATCAAAATCATATGAAGTTGACATCTCCCTGAGTACATCCCAATCCTGCTGTATATTATGACCACCCTTAGTGCTTGCTTGCATTTAAATTATTTTTTCCTTATTCTTGAGGATATAAATTCACAATGACATGAGGCGCTCGTAGTGTAGCCAGTGAGAGCTGATATAGGTAAGGATATTGGTAAAAACCTTATTTTTCTTCCGAAAGGATAAAATTCATCAGCCAATCCATGACTATATAGTTTGGAAACACAGAGGAGGCGTCAACCGCAAATAATTTTGATTGAAGGACACATACAGGTAAACTACTTTGATCTGTTAGTTATGGTAGTTAGGTACAGATTTTCATTTTCATATTACATTTAAAAAATCGTAAGTGCTCATAGCAATACGTTAGTAACTATTTCCAGGTTAAATCTAAACATAATCTAAAGTAATAAAAATATATCAACAAGGTAAAATATTATTAATAGTGTTTTGGATAATTAATAATATTTTTATAAAATTCTACGCACCTAATACGAGAAGAGCTGAGATACACATGCTTTCCGACTGTAAATTAAATATAATCTGAACATATTTTGTTATTAAAAATTAAAACCATTTGATAAAATTGTTAGTATTTTTGATGCTTCATTAACTTATTGCAGTGTTTTAAATTTAAACATTGACTTACTTCGTACTTTATTTCACTACAAGTAATTTCTCGAATCCATAGGTAAAGTGTTACTAATCGAACGTATGTACGATTTGCGTACTTACTCTTTGTTTTGATTTCTAATTCGATGCATAATTTTTGCATATTAGAGAACATATGTCTCATAGGGAAGCGTATTAGGTCAACTTTTTTCTGCTTTGTATCAATGACGTATAACTTACTAATTATAATCACAATCCAAAATGTAGTCTTAAAATCTTAAACAGTAGCTAAATTGATATATGATTTTATTTATTTTTATACGTGGTAGAGCCATGCTGCAGCTATATTAATAGTATAGTTGTAGCACGAATGGGTCGGCTCGACCGGGGAAGGACCACGCTCTCACAGAATACCAGCGTAAAATAGCAGCTAAATTCTGCTGTGTTTCGTGTGGTGAGTGTAGAGAACCGGAGACCCTTTTTTCTGGAAAAGAGGAATTCCATCTTATTCCTCACGGATGACAATGCATCTTCATTTTGATTCGCAAACGAGGATTGATGTAGTTGTCTATGGGCCACAGCAACCACTCACCATTAGGTGGACTGCGTGGTTGATTGTCATCCTATCTTACATAAAAAAAAAATTCTACCT